CTCACTTTGGAGACAGGCTGGCCTCGAACTCACAGAGATCCGCCTGCCTCTGCCTCCCAAGTGCTGGGATTAAAGGTGTGCGCCACCACCGCCCGGCCTGAAGTGCTCTTAAACATGAAAAAACTTTGAATTTGGAGAGTGCTTTGCTTCACAAATAGTAAAAACTGAACTATTCTGTGAGTCCATGGGGAGCAGAGTTATTGCTGCTCTATCTGCATGAGAGAAGAGGGCATCAGATCAGGACCTTTGGAAGAGTTGCCAATGCTCTTAACCACTGAGCCATGTCTCCAGCCCCTAGAGGCAGTCTTGATACTGTAACCTAGATTAGTCATAAATTTTAGATCCTTCTGCCTCTACCTTTTGGATGCTAGGATTGCAGGTTTGTGCTATCAAAAGGTTATTCCTTTTTTGTTTTGTTTTGTTTTTTGAGACGGGTTATCTGTGTAGTTTTGGTGCCTGTCCTGGATCTCGCTCTGTAGACCAGGTTGGCCTCAAACTCACAGAGATCCTCCTGGCTCTGCCTCCTGAGTGCTGGGATTAAAGGCGTGCACCTGGCCTCAAAAAGTTATTTCTAATATGCTACAAATAAATAACAACAGTAAGCCAATTAACTCACTCAAACACCTTAATGTTAGTGAAAAGAAAAAAAACACAATGTCCTCTTTTGTTCAAACAATGTTACTGAGATATCATTTGTCTATTAACCACTTGGATAAAGTGAAAACTTAAATATTCCAGCAGGGCATAGTGGCGCACACCTTTAATCCCAACACTCAGGAGGCAGAGGCAGGAGGAGCTCTGTGAGTTTGAGGCCAGCCTGGTCTACATAGTGAGTTCCAGGCCAGCCAGAGCTACATAGAAAGACCCTGTCTCAAAAAAACAAACAAACAAACAAACAAAAATCTTACATATTCCAAAGGAAACTGCAGTACCAACATATAACAATGTCTAAATTACACAATTAACGTTAATAAAGAGGATATTCTAATACAAATGCCTCTCCTGTGATTACAATCTCCTCATTCCTAGCTTCTTTTTGATCATCAAATTATACACATTTAAGCACTTCACCTTTCTGCTGTACGGATTACTAATAACGAGTTTGGTGTCATCAGAGCCAGATAAAATATATTCTCCAGTGTCATTCCAACAGATTGTATTAACCTAAAAAGAAAAGAAAAAAGAAACATAAGTAAATTGGACATAAAAAGGAGTGAACCATCTTTCACTTACCTGTGTTACAAAACTTACAGCTCTAATAAAGCTACTGTCTATGAGGGAAACTTCACAGACTGAAAATCCGACTTCAGTCCTTGATTCACATACCAGAGTCCTGGAAACCACTGTTACGACCTAAAAGGCTCAAGAAACTGCAGAAGTCAACCACTGTTCTTGGATCCTCCAGACAAACTACTACCACTATGTCTAGACACCAGGCAGTCCTGACTTGAGCAAAGGAATGGAAACCTCCGCAGGAAACCGTGGCTAGGTAGGAAAATTTGAATTACAACATGATAAAGGCATTAATAAAGCAGACAACACAAGAGAACAGGTGATCTAAAGTAGAGAGGGGATTCTAAAAGAGAACAGTAAAGCAATGCTAGAGTCAATAACAGTTTAATAGGAATGAAGAATGGCTTTGATAGGCTTGTTAGCATGCTGGACATAGTTGAGGAAACTCTCTGCCCTCAATGATTGATACATAGAAACCTTAAAAACTACAAAGAAAAGCCAGGTGGTGGTGGCGCATGCCTTTAATCCTAGCATTTGGAAGGCAGAGGCAGGTGGATCTCTGTGAATTTGAGGCCAGCCTGGGCTACAGAGCGAGATCCAGGACAGGCTCAAAAACTACACAAAGAAACCCTCGCTCAAATAAGAAAGAGAGAGAGAGAGAGAGAGAGAGAGAGAGAGAGAGAGAGAGAGAGAAGAAAAAGAAAAGGAAAAGGAAAAAGAAAAAGAAAAAGAAAAAGAAAAAGAAAAAGAAAAAGAAAAAAGAAAAAAAACCTACAAGAGAACGAAGTCCAAGAGTGAGGGAGGGGAAAGCCACTGGAATATCTAAGGACTGTGATACAAACACAAAAAGTAAATAATCCATGTTTATGGGAATACCAAAGGACTAAAGTAAGAAAGGGCAGAAACACTTGAAACAGTAATGTCCTCAAAATAATATCCGCAAACTACAGACAGATTCAGGGTGCTCAGAGGAAATGGAGGAGAGCAAGTAACTACAGAACTTCAAGTATGTGAATTAAGTCCTGGGAAGAGGCCACACAAGGCTGATTAACTAATAAGAACTAAGTGGTATGGAGAGGCTGGAATGCTACAGGTTCCAGGCTGATAAATTACAATTTATCTTGGGCTATCCTCAGCTCCCCTTCTTGCTCACCTGTGTCTGACCTAGCATCCTTGTGACTATCAGGTGAACCCTTTTGGAACGTATTAACTTAGCAGACCACTAGCTTCCGCCAAGCCCCAAACTACGAATTATCAGATAACACCTAAACCTGTAGACAGCATCTGAGACAGCGCTTTCCCCACTTTGCTGAGTCTGTCTACCTGATTCTTCCACTGATGTATTTTTTAAAGTGTCTTGACTTACAAATATCTTTGTTCTGTTACTATAAAATTTTCAGAAACTGTTACTGTGTTTAACATGGTATTTAGGGCTGCTTAAATCTCTGTCCCTCAACCACCATCATTCACATCTGGCTCTAAAATAAACTCTCTCTTGGGGTTTTGAGGTGAGAACTGTGTTTCTTACATCAAAAATAACTTGAGTATCCTTCCAGATAAAGAAAATCAAAGATAAAGAAACAATCCTGAAAAAAAGCTAGAAGAGAAGAGGTACCTTATCCATAGAGGAAAAGATAATAATGTCACCTGACTTCACAGAAATAACATAAATAAGAAATGTAGAATGATATAAAGTGTTGAGGGAAAATAAAACATGCACAAAGAATTCTGTACTCCATAAAAATCACCCTTTCGCCGGGCGGTGGTGGCGCACGCCTTTAATCCCAGCACTCGGGAGGCAGAGCCAGGCGGATCTCTGTGAGTTCGAGGCCAGCCTGGGCTACCAAGTGAGTCCCAGGAAAGGCGCAAAGCTACACAGAGAAACCCTGCTCGAAAAACCAAAAAAAAAAAAAAAAAAAAAAAAAAAATCACCCTTTCAAAACTAAAGACTAAATAAAGACAGTCTCCAATAAACAAGAATTGAGAATATTTTGTTTCTGGGAGAACTCCAAGAAACGTTAAGAAATTTTTTAGAGAAAGGTAAATAACGGGCCAGAAAATTTGGAACCTCAAAAAGGAAATAATATGGCTGGAAAGAACAACCGGCATTAAGAGCACTTGCTGCTCTTCCAGAAGACCCAGCTCTAGGGGGATCCAGTGCCTCTGATCTCCAAGGAACCATAGATCACTCTAGGTCACATAGCAAGATCTAGGCCAGCCAGGTCTACCTATCAAGAACTTGTCCAAAAATAAATAAATACATAAATAAAAAAGCAACAAATATGTACCTACACTTGCAATTCATTTATTCCACTCCTAGGTAGCTATCAAAAATAATAAAAAACAAACAAAAACTATACACAAATGCTTCATGGTAACTTCATAGTCTCTAGTTAGAAATACTGCCCACCAGTAGGTGAATAGTTGAGTTAAAGTACACCCATATAATGAGCCCTCAGCAATAACAAATAACCACTAACATCCTCAACATGAGGCCAGCCTGGGCTACAGACTGAGTTCCAGGACAAGCATCAAAGCTACACAGAGAAACCGTTTCGAAAAACTTAAAAAAAAAAAAGGAGTAAACCAGTCAGCTAAGAAGACACAATGAAGTGAGTCAATGAGGTTGTTAGAAAAACAAAGAGAATATGGTATTAGCAGAAAAGCATTTCAACACTATGCAGAAATTCTAATGACAGCTAAAGACCAAAGCACAGGCTCTGGGGGTAAGAGAGTCGTAAGAATTCTCATGAAAGCAACTTCAGGAAAGTGAGTGAAATAGAAGCCCCATAAGGAGAAAACTCATCTGGCCTTGAGACACAACAAAACAAAACCTTGCACACATTTTTCTAAATTCAAAAATAAGCTTTCAGGGCATAGATGTGTGTGTGTGTGTGTGTGTGTGTGTGTGTGTGTGTGTGTGAATATGTTCAAAACATACTGTATGAAATTTTCAAAAAATATTTTGTCAAAT